TGTTGGCAGGGAGAGGGAGAGGGAGATTGAGAGGGAGAGGGGAGGAGAGTGAAGGGAGAGGGAGATTGAGAGGGAGAGGGGAGGAGAGTGAAGGGAGAGGGGGAGAGAAAGAGAGAATGGAGGAGGGAGGGAGAAACAGAGAGAGAGCGAGGGGGGGGGAGGCAGGGTAGAGAGAGAGAGAGAGAGAGAGAAAGAGAGTGGCAGAGAACAGGTAAACTCAGATGGGTTTCCCTGTTTTGTTTATGGTGGCAGTTTGTTTTATTTGTTTCTCTAATAATAGTTTTGGTTATTTGTCTATAATTCTGCGGGTCTCTTTGTTTTCTTCTCTCTCTCTCTCTCTTTCCTCTCTCTCCTTCCTTACCTCTACCTCTCTCGTCTTTTTCTTTCTCTTCCTTCCTCTCCCATCCCCCTTCCCCCCCGTCTCTCTCTCTCTCTCTCTCTCTCTCTCTCTCTCTCTCTCTCTCTCTCTCTCTCTCTCTCTCTCTCTCTCTCTCTCTCTCTCTCTCTCCGCCACTTCCGCTTACTCTCTATCTCTTTCTCCCGGCTAGACCACGTGCGATTTGATTCCTCGCGCGCGATTTATGTCGGGCCATATTTCGAGCCGCCTTGCAGCTGGGCTTTATGGGACCCCGGCATAATTCGTCGCCCTACCCAACCCAAGGGCCTTTCACCTCCGCCAGCCCCTCCGTCAGGCTCCGGTCGGGCTCGCAGCAGCTGGGACGTCGGCGAAAAAGAGGGGGGGAAGAGGGGAAAAGCGGGAGTGCGAGGGGAGGGGGGGAGGGGATTAGGTGGGGTGGGGGGAGCTACGTGGGTTGGGACGCTTATGTGGAGAGGGTTAGGTATACGCACACACGGGTGCATAGGTAAGTTGAATTCATATATACATGCATGCATACATATAGTCTACATATATTCATTCATTCATGTGTACATACATACATACATACATACAAGTTTATAGTGCACACACGCGCACACACACACACACACACACACACACACACACACACACACACACACACACACACACACACACTTTTATTTAAATAAATGAAATAATTAATAATTGAATATATCCAATATACATACATACATATGTATATATATATATATATATATATATATATATATATATATATATATAAAGAGCGAGCACTCCATCAAGCGGACGTGAGAAGGAACCCAACTCGTGGTCGGTGGCCTCTGAAGGATCTTTTGGATATTGCCTTTTAAAGATGACGTAAGGAGTGATTTGTTATTTTACGATAATGGCTATTTGGAGAAAGATGATTAATGTGCAGTGTAACGAAGCAAAAAATGCCCAACGCCAAAGTCAGGGATTTACGCATTTTTGAAGGAAGAAAGGGAGGGAGAGGAAGGAAGGGAGAGAGAGGGGAGAAAAAGGGAGAGAGAGGGAGAAAGGGAGAGAGAGGAAAAAAAAAGAGACAAATTGTATGTGAGAGACTGAGAGAAACAGTGACAGTGAGAGAAAGATGAAAAAAAGAAGAGAAAGAGAAAAAAATATTTTAAAAATCAGTAACAAACCTCACACAATCACACCCAAACGCAAATCAACTCCGCCCACTCCCCGCCTCAAGCAAGCACCTCGCCCACCGCTGCCACCAGAAAGCCTTCAGAACACACACTATTCGGACACATAAAGGCCCGAACACATAGCCGCTTCGACTGTGGCTCGGGTTCGAATCAGCGAAGCCGGAATAACGAGTCCTGACAAAGGGCGGCCACACAGAGCTATAGTTAGACAGTTACTGATGGAACTGTTGGGAGGTGGACAGGCGGTCCAGCGCGGGTGATGGACAAGGGCTAAGCGTCGGGAATATTTTTAATGTGGCTTTGTGCACCTGTTGTACCGTAGGCCGGTTCATTTTATTTTGTTTTATTTTCTCTTTTTCAGTGCTCTTGGGCTTGTTTGGTTGGTTTTGTCGTATTCTGTTGGTTTGTCATTTGATTTTGATTTTGGCATTGTACTTTAGTTATTTGTTCGACGTTATTGCATTTTGTTGTTTGGTTATTTGTTTGTTTCTGTGAGTGTATTCAATTGCTTGATTTTTTAAATTGTGTTATTGTATATTAAGTTATTTTTTTTATATTATTGTATTTTGTTAAAATATTTGATTATTTGTTCAATTTTGTTACTGTATATTGTTAGCTTTTTGTTATTGCATTTTCTTATTGGTGTGTCTAGTATTGTTATTGTTGTTGATATAATATTCGTTATAAATCATTATTGTAATATTGTTATTGATCTTGCCTTATTGCTATAATTCCATTATTATGTATCAATATTTAGATAAAAAATTGGTACAGTTACTCCCTTTACTTCCTGGTAGGCTATCACAATGGACCCGATAAATAATAACATTCCAAACTTCAACATTCCAACATTCCAGAGAAGGCAAGTCCAAACTATAAAGAAATCCGCACACTAGCAAGTGCTCGAAAGCTAACATTCTGCTTTTTTTCTGCTTTTATCCAACAG